GCTGGGAAGGTGGTGAAACTAGCAGCTCAACCAATGCTGCCGTCCAGCTTTTGTTTTGTAGGGGCTCAAGTAAATTATTTAAGGAGTCCTATTTGGATATACAGTACACACAAGATCTATATATACATGATTTTTGCCGAGCCTAATGAGTTCCGGTGACCCCGCACACTCCACTATAGGTCCACCTCTGCCCCTACCTTGTGGAGAGAGAAAGGTTGTTTCCAATAGACCATCGACTCAGAGAAGCATAAACATCACATTAATGAAGAGAAAAACAAGAAGCGCAACAGCGAGAAGCCAATCGCTTTTAAAAATATTTTTTATATATTTGTATGCGATCGAAATCGAGCTCGCCTACGACATGGCAGATTAGGATCGGAATATGACAACCAAAGATTGAAGATCGACCCCGAGTCCCACCGAGTTAGGACTCGAGGTCAGAACGTCTGCCTTCAAGAATATTAAGTTTGTAATCCCGGAGTCGACCTTAGCCCCGATCGAGCTCGAAGAAACTTTGTTAGCACAACAAAAGATCGAAATATTCATAACCGGTCGGATATAATGGCGAGAATCTCGGCACGAATCAATAATGAACCGGCAATCAGCAAATCAAAAGATCTTTTACCTTTTATAGAATTGTACCTAAAGTATGATTCCTCTACTATATAAAGAGAGGTTTAATAATTCATTGAAAATATTGTAACATGCATCCCAACGCAATATATTATTATTTTCTTTAAGTTCTTATAATTCTCTTGTTGTTCTGTTCTGATATCAATTAAAGTATTTTTGGCTCAAGGGTGGCTAACCTTCCAAGGCTGGGACTGTTCAACTTATGTGGTTTGCATTTACTTTTCCATTAGTTATTTCAATTGCAATCTAATTTGTCGTTTCGTATCAAGTTAAATCACGTATCCTTAAAATCACTTACAAATTCAATTGTTATCCGATTTTGATGGTAAACAGTTTGGCGTCCACCGTGGGGCTAAGGATAATAGTAGTTATTTGATACAAATCTCCATAACACACACTATTTTACACTTGTTCTTTGAAGGGTCTCTGATTTCAGGTTAAAACTTGAAATACCAAACCCTCAATCAGCACCCCTACATGTTGACAACGAGCCCGGTCATCACGGGAAAAATAACAACATAGCGCCCAGTGATGAAGTACCGCCCGTTGATCCCATCGGAATTCCAGTCGCAGACCCAATTGACGCTAATTCACATGTGGCTATCGACGCAAAATTACCTACCGACCCCGAGAATAGCGTCCGTGGTGGAGCCCAATCGGCAACTTAAAACACACAAAATATTGGAGGAGACGGGATCAGTTTAGGGTGATCTTCGAAATGCTGCAGACTCAACAAGCGGCGATAGCTCAGTTACAGAACCAAAGCCATGTACCGAGCAGGGTTGAACCCGATCCACCTCGGGAAGTCACCTGCAAGGATGAACCTGTCATAGAAAGGTCAAATGGATATGAATCAGGGACTAATCCCGAGATCATAAAGATGCTCGAAGAACTGATAAAACAGTTAGAATCAGGGGAGAAGAAAATCGAAGCTAATGACAAAAAGGTGAAAACCTACAATTCTAGGGTAGACCAAATCCCTGGAGCAGCACCAATATTGTAAGGCCTGGATTCCAAGAAGTTCGTGCAAAAACCTTTTCCTCCGAGCGCGACCCCGAAGCTGATCCCTAAGAAATTCCGTATGCCCGAGATACCTAAGTATAACAGAACGACCGACCCAAATGAGTATGTAACCTCTTATACATGTGCCATCAAAGGGAAAGACTTAGAGGACGATGAGATCGAGTCTGTCTTGCTGAAGAAGTTCGGAGAAACCCTGTTGAAGGGAGCTATGATATGGTATCACAACTTACCTCTTAATTCTATTGATTCATTTGCTATGCTCACGGATTCTTTCGTGAAAGCACAAACCGGGGACATCAAGGTCGAAACCAGGAAATCAGACCTTTTCAAAGTAAGGCAGAATGATAACAAGATGCTCAGAGAGTTCGTGTCCCGGTTTCAAATGGAACGAATGGACCTACCACCTGTCGCTGATGATTGGGCCGTTCAGGCTTTCACCTAGGGGCTCAATGTTCGAAGTTCAGTGGCTTCACAACAGTTGAAACAAAACCTGATAGAATATTCAGTTGTTACTTAGGCCGACGTGCATAACTAGTATCAATCGAAGATCACAGTGGAAGATGATCAACTTGGGGCCCCTTCGGGGTCTATTTATCCCGTCATAAACATCGACAGAGTCAAGAGAGATATCGATGGTGAACCGAGACCAAACAGGGATCGGTACCAGTCGTATAATGGAGACCGAAGAAGTAGTGGGTCTGGGCAGAACTCTATGAGAAATGAAAGGAGAAGTGATAGAGGTCAGAGCAATCAGGGACTCATGAGCAAAAACAGCTTTGATAGGCCCATTGGGCCTAAAGAAGCGCCGAGGTTATCGGAATACAACTTTAATGTCGATGATGCTGCCATTATATCAGCTATCGAACATATAAAAGATACCAAATGGCATCGACCTCTATAATCTGATCCAACCCAAAGGGATCCTAAGTAGATATGTAAATATCACAGCACTCACGGCCACAGAACGGAGGATTGCCGACAGTTGAGAGAGGAAGTTGCCCGACTATTCAACATCGGGCATCTTCGAGAATTCCTGAGCGACCGAGCCAAGAATTATTTCAGGAATAGGGATTCTAACAAACAGACTGAACAAGAAGAACCTCAACACGTCATTAATATGATCATTGGTGGGGTCGATGTACCACAGGGGACAATGTTGAAATGCACCAAAGTGTCCATAACGACGGAAAAATAAACTCGAGCTTACACACCGGAAGGAACCTTGTCTTTCAACAATGAGGACACGGAAGGGATCGTGCAGCCCCATAATGATGCACTGGTAATATCTGTACTCGTAAAAAAATTCGAGTTAAACGTGTGTTAATTGATCCAGGTAGCTCGGCCAACATCATCCCATCGAGGGTCGTGGAGCAGCTCGGTCTACAAGATCAAATCGTGTATGCAGTACAAGTTCGAAACGGATTCAACATGGCATATGAAACCACTAAGGGTGAGATAACGTTACTACTGAACACCGCCGGGACTATCCAGGAAGCTAAGTTTTATGTAATCGAAGGAGACATGAGATACAATGCTTTGTTTGAAAGGCCATGGATCCACAACATGAGGGCATTACCTTCAACTCTGCACCAAGTGTTAAAATTCCCAACACCAGGCGGAATTAAAACAATCTACGGAGAACAACCAGTCGCAAAGGAGATATTTGCGGTCGAAGAGGCGATTTTGATTTTTGCACTTACAACGGCAAAGGGGCCGAGTTTGGTCATAAAGCCAGAAACTAAATAGCAATTACCGACACCAGCTCCGACCCAATCGGAGAAACAGGGGACAGATGAAGACGCTGATTATGACTATGGGGTACCTAGGTCTTTTATAGCCCCTGATGATTCATACGCCACTAAATCGACGGTCGAGGAGCTGGAACATATCATATTGGTCGAGAATCTACCCGATCGAAAGGTATACCTGGGCACGAGGTTAAATCCTAAGCTCAGGAAAAAACTCATTTAGTTTCTTATAGCTAACATAGATTATTTAGCTTGGTCTCACCTTGACATGACAAGGATCCCGCCGGAGATAACCACGCATAAGCTAAGCTTGGACCCAAAATCCCATCCGGTGAAGCAGAAGATGAGACCCCAGATCGAGATCAAACATGCTTTCATCAAGGACGAAGTATCTAAACTCCTTAAAATAGGTTCCATTCGGGAGGTTAAATACCCGGATTGGTTAGCGAACATAGTGGTAGTTCCTAAAAAAGGGAATAAATTAAGAATGTGTGTAGAATATAAGGATGTGAATAAGGCATGTCCCAATGACTCTTTCCCTTTGCCCAACATTGGTCGCATGATCGATTCCACGGCCGGCCATGAGATCCTCAGTTTTCTCGATGCCTATTCCGGGTACAACCAAATACGAATGGACCCGGGCAACCAGGAAAAAACCTCTTTTATCACTAAGTACGGCACCTACTGTTATAACGTTATGCCATTCGGGTTAAAAAAATGCTGGTGCCACTTACCAATGCCTAGTAAATCGAATGTTTGAGGAATAAATAGGAAAATCAATGGAGGTTTATATTGACGATATGTTGGTTAAGTCCCTGTGAGC